CTAAAAAGGAAGGGCTGTAGAGATGGCTGAGCAGTTAAGAGCATTGGCTGCTCTACTAGAGAACCAGGGTTTGATTCCAGCACCTACAAGACAGCTGACAACCATCTGTAACTTCACTTTCAGGGGATCCAACTCCTTCTGACCTTCGAGGGTAACAGGCATACACCTGATACACAGAACATACAAACCATAAACGTAAAATAATGACAATATAAACACTTTAAAGAGCTCTAATGCTTACAGCGTCAAGGGGTCCCCCCCGGTGGAGGTCTGCACACATTCCACCAGAGGGCGCCGGCTGCTAATATTCCTACTTGCTCACTGTTCTTGCTCACTGCTGCCATTCCCTGAAGAAAACCCAAGCTGTCAATCACCTGGCACTGGAAGAGCTTGCCCTTGCCCACCCACAATTTCTGTTTAGGTGAAAGACCCTAGCCAGTTGACTGGTAGCGGAGGGGCTTCTGAAGGTGAGACTCATGAGCAGTGAGGAGTTTCGTTAAGCCCGAGCTTCCACCAGAACAAGAGTGGGCTCGCCAACATTCCTTAAGCCCCTTGAGATGCTAGTGGCCAGACCCGCCCCTGAGGACCTCCAACCACCAGGTCCCACCCCCCAAATACTCTAATGTCTTCATCAGGGCAGGACCCAGCCCCTCCAGATGCAGATCAAACTTCACCTTTCAGAAAAAAGCCTGACCTCAAGTCCTGGGCTTGGAATCCCACCAATCCCCACCCTGAAAAGCCCCAAAACAAGAAAACCCTATATAAAGCCTGCCTCCTGCTTGGTTCTCTGCTGCTTCTCACTTGAGCAGAGGCAGCCATCCTCTTGTGTCTTTTCCAATCAATCTCTTGTGTGAGGTTTGCTGTGTGGTGTGACTCTGTGATGCTCCTTGGCTCCTGACTGCCAGGATATCTCCTCCAGAGCTGCAACACTTGCATTGGAAAGTCCACCCCACTCTGAGCTGTAACACTCCTACTCTCAGAGATGTTACATTTATGCACTCTGTCATGGAACGGGAAGGGACTCAGGCCACCCTCCCTGAGGAACCATGAGCAGTTAATGGTTGCTAAGGAGGAGGAGGAGGAGTAAGGGGAGGAACAAGAGGGGGAGGAGCAGGACTAGGAGGAGGAAGAGGAGGAAGAGGAGTAATAGTAGGAGTATTTTGGTTCCTGGAAGTCTTTCTACATAGCACTGGCTGTCAGGGAACTCACAGCTGGCTGGCTTTGAACTCACAGAGTACTGCCTACCCCTGCATCCTGAGTGCTGGGATTAAAGGGGTGTGCCACCACACCCTGGTTACTGATGCAGCTCAAGTAAATAACCTCACCCACTCTCATGCAAACAACCCTAATTAAATGCAATGAGCCCCAAAAATACAAAATGGAACATATCCACTAGGCTGGGGGCTGTTGGGAAAAAGGGGGTTCAAGAGGAAGGGGTGAGAATAATGGGGGAGTATTATGAAAGTACATTATATATGTATACAACATGAACAGCTGAAAACAACAACAACAAAACATACACCAGCTTCCCTAGAGTTCTCAGGAAGACAGCGCCACATAAAGCTCAGACTCGCCTACCTTCTGCTGGGATTACAGGTGCTCATACCACACCCAGATCCCTGGCTGTTATTTTCTTTCCCCTCAATACTGTCCATATTAGGGCCATGTCTGGTGACATATGCTGTAATGCCAGCACTTAAGAGGAGAGGACAGGAGAGTTGTGGGTTCCCAGGCAGTAAGATTGTCCCTGTTGAGTCTAGCCATTTGCTGATTACAGTTTCAGCTCTTCCGCCTGAGTCTGGCTCTAGATGTGGGTAAACTGTGGTTCTCAGGACAGTGGTTTACCCTGAGACCTCAAGTCTTTGATGGCTCTAACAAAAGCTGTTAATTTTCGGTATGCTCAGCATTTTTCCTTATTGTGTAGATGGAGTGGTCATTTCCCAACTCTTTCCATGTCTGACCAGAAACCAGATGTTAAAGCTATGATTTTAGAGCTGGAGAGATGACTCGGTGAATAAGGGCACTTGTCACTCTTAGAGAGGACCCAAGACCTGGGTTCGATTCCCAGCACCTACATGGTGGTTCACTATTATCCATAATTCTGGTTTCAGGTGATCCAATACCTTCTTCCAAAGCCTTCTGGCCTCCATGGGCACCAAGCATACATGTGGTACACACACCTGTATACAGGCAAAACATTCATACATATAAAATAAAATAAATAAATCTAAAATAATTTATTTTTAAAGGGTCTTAGTCACTAAGGAGGACCTGAATTTGATCTCCAGAACCCACATTTTCAAAAGCCTCCTGGGGAAGAGGGTAGCACACACTTGTAATCCCAGTGCTGGAGGCAAACCCAAGCAGACCCTCAGAGCTTGCTGCCAGCCATCCCAGCCTATTTGCCAAGTTCCAGGCTGGCGAGAGACTCTAAAAAGGTTTGAAGTATCTAAGGGGCAATACTCCAAGTTGTCCTCTGGCCTCCTTATGTGGATGCACACACAAGCAAGTCCCCACACACACAAGTGTACCTGCACACACAACAAAAGTCTTTAGATCAGTGTTTGATTTCACATTCAGGGACTGAGATGCATATTTTACATAATCAAAGCAGACTGGGCCTCCAGGTTCTCCCAGCATGCCTCAGTCCCTATCTGGCCTACCCTGCCCTCAACTGTGAACTTTCCAGCCCAGGGGCTGGACTGCCTTCCCCCAGAGGCTCTTCCCTAGATAATCCAGATGTTTTGGTCCCTCTCTCTCTTCTCCTTTCTCTGTGTGTGCATGCCTCCTTCCCACTTCTTGTCTCCCTCCCCTACCCACCTCTTTTCCCCAGGGAGACTTCCCTGGCCTCTGTCCTTGGACCAGGTAAACTGCCCTCCTGAGAGCAGTTTCCCAATAAACCTGCCTTTAAAATATTCCAATCTGGATCCAATTGGCTCATTTCACCGACGGTGGTAAAATAACCTATCAATCAGGTTTCTCTGTAAAAGTATGAGAGCTTGGTACACAGCTTGGTAGCGGTCTTCTTGCCTGGCAGGTTCAGTGCCATGAGTTCAGTCCTCAAAGTAGACAGAAAAAGGTGTGCACTAGGGAAGATGGTAGGGTGGTGAGCACAGGCGTCCACCACTCACTTAGGTGACTGATGTGCAGCAGGGTCTGTCAGGAACAATATTCTATCTGCACTTTCTTAGGCTGTGCTTGTCTGTTTGGTGTTGTCTCATCACTAGGTGAATTAGATTATCCATATTTCCTTCCTTCTAATTTTTAATCTTATTGTCACATGGCCATCGCATTGGTGAAGGTCAGAGGACAGCTCTATGAGTCAGTTTGTCCTTCCACCTTTATGTGAGCACTCAGCACAGAGCTGAGTCTGTCCCCTTCTGCATCAAGCACCTTTACTGGATGGGCCATTTGGGGTAGCCCTAGATTAACTGCACTTACTTCATCTTGATGCCTGGCATTGATCTGTTCTCTAGCTGTTCCTCCCACAGCTAGCCAATTATTCCTAGAGTTATCCGAAGAGCTCAGCCAGCCCGGGGCAGCCCTTCCGAACACAAATCAATGGTTCTTCCAACACCTTATACCACAGAACTGGGAATCATCTTAGCACTCGGGTGCAGTGGCTTAGGTAAGGGACTCTTTCCGAATACTTTCTCAGACAAGGAACCAGACAGGCTAGGAGAAACGTTCAGGAAACAGTTAATGACAGCAGAGTCCAGGAAAGGGAGAGCATGCTGCAGCAGGGCAAGACTGTGGACAGAGACAGCAAAGAGCCAGCCACAGAAAGTCTTTGTCTTTTAAAGCTTTCATTGAGAGCATGAAAAATACATTCTGCCCAGGATGATACGAGCCCTGGATATGAAAACCACACTCCACCTTCTCAAGCCAACCAAGAGAGAAATAACCAGACTGTATGACTGCTGGTTTAACTTTGCAGTCCAAGGCTCTTCTGCATGGCCCCAGACTCAAAAGGAGTGTGAGACAGGGAATGACCAAGCACACCTCTGACCACAGACTTTCCTTAGCTTTCGTTAGCTTCGGGCCACGGTGGCATGGCTAGTTGGATATATCCTCGCCATCCTTTCTCTTCTGTCTGCTGTGACATGAACTGCCTCCACACCATGCTCCTGCCAGACCGTTTGCCTGGTTCACTTTTAACTAAGCAGTGACAAGAACTTCCAGGGCCAGCTTACTGAAACGGCAACCTTTCAGTTTAAGGCATTTCTTAGAGAACCTGCCTCCTCCCTAGCCCCTTGTGGGTTGAGTATAAATGGCCCCCACAGACTCGTATATTTGAATGCTTGGACCCCAGTTAGTGAACTGTCTGGGAAGAATTAGGAGTCTTGGATTAGGAGTCTGGGGGAAGTGTCACCAGGAGGTGGATTCTTTAAAGTTTCAAAAGACCACACCAGGCCCAGTCTCTCTGCTTTCTTGTTGATTAGATGGAAGCTCTAAGCTTCTGCTCCAGGCCTTGGCTGCCTGCTGCCATGCTTCCTACCATGAAGGAAACAATCCTCTGAAACTGGTAGCTAGCTTCTACTTAAATGTTTTGAGTTTTTTTTTAATGAGTTGCTTTGGTCACGGTGTCTTCCTACTGCAATAGAACACTAATTACAATACTGACTGTCCAATAGCTTCTCTTTTATCCACACACCAAGCCTGCACGGCCCCAGCCCTGGACCCAACTAGGACCAGTTTCTACCACTGGAACAAAATACCAAGATAATCAAGTTGTCAAAAGGCTTAGTCAGGAACAAAGGTCCACACTTATAGTCAAGAGATGAGGGAAGAGGATTGCTCAAGCCTACGACATGGGGGCTAGCCTTAGCAACATAGAGAGATCCTTGGAGGGGAAAGAAGAGAAAAGAGAAAGAAGCTTTATTTTAAATCTTGGTTTCAGAAGTGCAGGCTCATAATCAGTGGGTCC